AAAGGGGTTAACCATGCTGAACCCAACAAGGCTATGCAGGATTTCAATGGTCCCTAGGGGTTAACCATGCTGAACCCAACAAGGTTATGCAGGATTTCAATGGTCCTTAGGGGGTTAACCATGCTGAACCCAACAAGGTTATGCAGGATTTCAATGGTCCCCAGGGGGTTAACCATGCTGAACCCAGTGAAGTTATGCAGGATTTCAATTGTCCCTAGGGGTTAGGGTTAAAAAGAATCAGTTCTCTGAATCATACTTTGTTCATAATTTCAGTGATGGAACACTACTTTTATCAATTTGTTTTATTTATGCAGAGAATGATTTGACTACCGAGTATGATTGATACTATATGTAGGTGAAGTTATAATTACCAATCATTGGTTGATTCATTGGGTGTCCATTTGTTACCACAGGTTTTATAAATCTCCTGTTGATAAAGTTAGACATTGAAAATTATGGTAACAAATTTGAATGGTGAATTCCTTGATGAGGAACTGATTTTGTTTGTTTTCATGTCGGGGGAATGTATGGGGAACCTGGGAACAATTTTGCCAAATGTAAAGAAACTCCTGACAAAGTAAATAAGTTTTGTGATATTTAATTTAAAAAGTTACGTAATTCGGTAAGCTTTTAACTTACCTATCACTCATGGAACCACCCAAAAATGCAGAAGTTTTTTGTTTACTTTTTTTTAAATAGTGGCATGTTTTCTGTTACAATATTCTTCACTTCAAGATTCTCTTTTTCTGGTAGCTGGCCTCTCAGATCTACCAAAGCCAGATGAGGGGTAGCCCAGCTGAGGCTTATACCTCCAATTGGCTGGAGAGATTACGTCAAATCAAGCGATTGAGAGGCAAAATCTCCCAGGGGGCACCCTCCAACACGCTAGCAGCCATGGCAGCCGCCTCGCCTGTCAGACATCAGGAGAGACGGAAAGGATCATCAGTGGCCCTGGATGATTTCACAGATTATGCTTGAGGGTTGGACCTTGCTAGCACGTGTGGTTTGGGTTAATACTGGGTGCTAAGATTTGGTCAATCTGGCACAATGGTTCATTGCAGAAATGCCGTCTCTTGACAGGTCACATTGTTGCACATGGACATCATTAGTTGTCTGTCAGACAGTTGTTCTATTTAGCCTTGATAGTCGGTCTCAACCATTATTGACAATGGGAAAGTTTGAGTGTGAACCATGTGTAAACTGCTGGTCAATCACCTCTTAGCAATACACTTGTCCAATGCAGTCTCACTTGTTACATCCTATTGTCAATTTGTTACGATCGGAAAAACTCAACTATTTAAGAATAGCAATTATTCCAAAGCTTAAATTTTCTCTGATGCAACAAAGAAATCAAACAAGGTAACACTGATATAAGGAACAAATAAATATGATTTAATGGGAATGGAACTAGTTTACAATGATAAGGAATATCTCATATAAACAAAATGTTCTTGTGGATGAGAGCTTGACAGACACTACATCGAAGAATGCTGGACTCCACAGATGGTGAAAAAACAGTTCAGTACTAGACTCTGTGAGTACTACTAGCTCTGTGAGTATTTCTCTCTGTCCTTGTCTGCCAGAGCCCATCTTTTATACCGTACAACTCTTCTACAAATTTCTTTTCATTACGTAAGTGTCTTAAAGTAGACTTTTAGCATTACTTATTTCTAAAGAAACCTCCAGAGTATACACTACACGACTGGAAATATCGTTAACTTACAAGAAATTTCCAAATGATCGATGAATTTCAGGATCATGGCCACAGTGCATAAGGCAAGGTATTTATGTCAGATTTAGGTTTTGCAGTGGATTATTGTATGCGATCTTGTACAAAAATATTCAAACCCCCATAAATCAAAAATTTCAACAAGGCAAATTCTGTCATGCTACCATGATGTATATCCATGGATGTACCTTCTAATTGTTCATCATATTCTGTAGGAATAGAAAGACCAACATGTCAAAACACATCTCAGCTGAATTAATGATCAAGTTGTTTACCAAGTTATTTTAATTTAAAACCTTTGTTATTTTCACTCAGCTATTCTCAGTGTTCAAATAAACCGACTAAGTTCTCTGCGATTGAGTGTCAAAGTTTATATCACAATAAACATCATGTCAACAAATGTTTGTCATTGTACACATGTAGGTTAAATTCGTCGGCTGTTTGCTTTGTTTCAAGTTTCAACTACTGTTATACAGTTTAAAAAATTCAAATACGTCTGGTGTGTGATTGTACATATCCACGTGTCGTCAGGTACTGCTTGGTAAAATCATTGGAAGTATGAGACAAAGTAGGCCCTGTTGTGGGAGCTCATCAGAAATTTGCAGAAAACACATTTTGCCTTTGTGTGTGTAATGTTGGGGAGTCATCCATAAACACTGTCATTATAACGACAGAACACACAGCTCTTTTATGTCAAATATGGACAAAACTTAAAGGCTGTCACAAATTTATTGAAAAACTTGATGATGCCTAGCCTACTGTCAGCTGTTATATGTTGCTGGTATGAAATCTAAAATTGTCTTTAGAAAATTAATTGACAGAGGCAGACGATAGATTTATAAATAACATGGGCAGTAAAGCTGTAAAAGTCAGCCTGATTTGCATCTCTCTGACATCAACTGTGGAGGTCAAACTTGAGAGGTGCGAGATTAAAAAAAATACAACCTGCACTGTTATTGATTGTTGTATGGCAAAAAGGGCCCGTGTGTTTGTTTCCTGAAAAAAGGTGCTTTGGTGTGAAAGAAATGAAATCAATAAGGCAGTACTCCTTGTCGGATATATGTATTTATGATTTTTGTCTGACGAAAGTAAACATAGCATGCATTCAAAATTGATTCCACTGGACAAATTTAAAAATATTTGACTAAATCTGAAAATTATAAAGAATGAAAACGTTTGAAAATAAATTTCTCGAGTCTATGGCCGCACCAGCCACACTAAGCTAGTTCCCATATAGAGTCACGCGTAGTTTGAAGACGTAGCCAAATAATTCAGACGCTGCCATCAGTTGTAAAGACGATTGTAGGTCAACTCGCCCCCTGGCCGACTCGCCCCTTACCAGCTCGCCCCTGGCCAACTCGCCCCCGTAAATTTGCCAAGCACGTGTGGCCGGCCCATTTACCATTTAATAAAAAAAACACAGTAAGTCAGAGATGGAATCAGTGATTGCTGCCCGCAAAAACAGGTTCTGGATTTTGCAGCGGGCACTCAAAGTTGAGAATTATGAAAGTTAAACTGTTTAAAGTCTATTGGATGTTTACTTTCTGTGGAATTTGGGGTAAAAATGTTTTTTTAATACTAGTTTAACTAATTCAGTATTATCGTGTGTACTGGCCATCTGCCCAGCTGCGTCCCTTCTGCGGACCTCAGTCACATACCCAAATATTAATGGGACGGAGGGTTCGAAGTTGTTGATCCTGAGGGTATGTTGGATCATTGGATGTGTTTTATTCCTCCATGGATGTACAAATAACCTAATCAGACAGTGGACGTGGGAAGCGCTAAGACGTTTTAATAAATAAGTGATTAGTGGTGTCCAAATATCCATCACCATCCGTGAGTCGTTCTTGTCGCGTCGCTGGTTAGAACCATTTTTTAAAAATATTGGGCCGGCCATACTTGCATGACGTTCCTAGGGGGCGAGTCGGCAAGGGGGCGAAATGGCCAAGGGTGAGTTGGTCAGGGGCGAGTTTACGAGGGGGCGAGAATTGGTAAGGGGGAGTCGGTCAGGGGGCGACTTAACCTGACACCGAAATGACCTAGCCCTATCCCAGAATGTGCCAGTTAATTAAATTAAAAAAATTCTATTAATGACAAGTAAGTGCGATTTCTGAATAATTTCGAAACACGTCAAAGAAAAAAAAATTGCCTACAATTTAGTATATTCGCTTCCAAAAAAGTAGAAAAGGTTTCCCTAGCTATTTTGAAACGTTTTCATTCAAAATAATTTACAAATTTAGTCAAATGTTTTTAAATTTGTTCCGTGGAATCGATTTTGAACGCATACTATGTTTACTTTTGTCGGACAAAAATCATAATTACATATATAATACGCACGTAATAATAGATGCATACGTAGTAACGATAATCTCCAATATGATTGATGGATCACTCCTTTTACGGAGAGACACCTGAGTAAATGTATTTAGTTTCAATTTTTCATTGTATCGTCTCCTAAATAAAGCTGTAAACGAGTTTCATTGTCCCAAAGCTCAGTGAAATGACGTCTGATCTCCCCCGAAAAATAATCACGGTACCATGGTGCTCCAATTTCATATTGACAGTGCAAGAAGGAAACCCCTGTAGTTGTACATGAAGCCCGTGGAGGAATCACTGGGATGTTCCAGGTAACAAACGAGCAGAATCAAAAAAAGTGTAAAAGATGAACGAAAAACAAAAACGACCTGCTGTTGAGATTTCTTCAGTTTCAGGCATCTTGGGGGTCGGGGTTATCACTTGTAAAAATTAACAGGAATAGTCCAGGAAATCATCTGAACTCCAGCTCAAAGGGGTTGTTCTAGTTGGAGAAAAACAGCATTTTCCCCGATTTTCCTGAACCACAGGAGGTCAAAGGAATATCCACATAATATACATGTACAGTATATAAAACAAGTACATGTACATGTAGCTCAGTGTGTGTTGTGTGTATGTGTGTGTGTGTGGGGGGGGGGTCAACATGACCATGCATCCTTCTCTTAATCTTTAGGAGGAAGAAATTTTTTGTGGGAGGAAGCAAAGATAACGCACGACTCGACAAAACGAGCCCGCATGCCCTGCATACACACTACGGGGCCGCGCCGTCCTTCGATTGCATTATGATTTTCTGGCGATTACACTGTCTGGCGGGGATTGTTTGTAACCAACATCACAGGGGAACTGTATACGATATTAACTGATTCGTCTGAAAGCGTCTTTACCATTGTTTGGTGTGTAAGAGGTTAATTTGGTTAAAGAAATTAGCTGTAAAAACAATCTAAAATGTTGTACGTCGTGCGAGAAATTACTTGGCTGTGCGTTGGATTTTTTCGGCCTCCCCGGTCACAATACCATTCATGGCGGGAAAGTAATTAAACTGGCAATGTGGCATTGCACGCTGTGTCCACGACCCGCACGCGTGTTACTTTGTTATGATACTAGCGAGCCATGTGCGCGTGCACTGCACTGCACGCAGGAATTCGCGCTTCAAGTGCGTACGTACGTGTAGCTAGCTATCCGGCAAGATTTACCTGCAGTTTTGTTAGACTGCAACCGAGCTGCCATTTGTCTCTACATCGCCTCTTGGACTTAAGGGTGTTAGTGTGTTTTCTGCTCGACTGTTTCCGATAAGGTAAATTTGTGTCTTCTTTCATGTCTTTTGTAGCCCGAACAGTAGGCCTGACGTTAGTTGTATTTCCCAGGCGGATCATAACCATACATCCGACCATACCTCCATGATCCACATAGTCACTGTACATGTACATGTACTTGCGTAACTTGAGTCGTATTTCATAGCGCTTTATTCTTGAGGAAGGATTGAACATTGTCCAGCACTGCACTGCTGAGGTATCGCAGCATCAGGGTTTCTCAAGCTTTGCATGTGAATTTCTTTTTTTGTATACGTACTTACTGTAGAGCTTTCTATTTTGACCTGTCATAAATGTCATGATAAATATGTGTTAGGCCTGGCTGAGTTATATTTTCAAAATGCATAGCATTATTGTCGTGTCTTGAACTTTACAAGTTTCAAAGAGCACCATTTCCTTGTAGGCTAAATTTTGCCTGATTCAGACCCCTTTTAGCCCGCTTCTAAGTGGGTCATGTAGACACATTTCCACTGAGACTATTATTGTTATGCTCCATTATGAGGGAAATGATACAAGATGAAGTAAAAATAGGTCTAAGTTGTTTTCTTTCCATCCTCTCTCTGCCTACCTGTTTTTTCTTATTCTGCTAATTTGGAATATGTTTGGACTTGTTATTTGTATTTGACAAGATGATTAGGGAAAAAGATTGTTTCATCAATGTAGCCAAGGTACATGTAAGTTTCATCCAGCACGGTTTGTCACATCCTTTGGATCATAGGTTTAATATGTGCCGCATTTTCCATAAATGATGTAAAATCATTTCATGAAGCATCCACATACAAAATTGATGACGATGTATTTTACTATAAGATGGTGCTCCATGTCTTGAATTTTGCTGTAAAAGACAGACTGCTCATTAAAGATTATTCTGAAGGTAAATGTCAGCTAGGGCCAGTTGTGCCAAAATCAGTGCCACCCTGACATACTGTTATTCTGTTTGTGGAATGCTATTACAAAAAAGAACCTTGTCCTCTCTCATTTCAGATGTCTACAGCCAAACTCATTATGTCCTTTTTTTGGTGTTGATAACCCAAACAGATGAGTCATTCTATGAATTTGGGACCCACTGTTTTCATGTCTATCGGCCACATGATGTTACAAGCTTAGAACACATTCTTTACTCACAGAGAATGATAATGGAAATTACCTGCTAAATAAAGGAAAAGTTAGATTTTAATCACAGTGTTATCTCGTCTAAGTACGCACTTTTAGGCCCCGGATTTATAGACCCGACCCAGATGCCTTGAAACATGAGATGGGTCAGCTGAACTGACTGGCTTTCCAAACATAGCTTTTGTCAGGGCATAGACAAATGAAACACAGAGCATGGAGCTATAAGGAAGGATGATGAAATCATGTAGCAGTAGACTGTACAGTCTGGGAGATGTTGAAGCACTCCACACCGTTGATAGCTGTCCAAGGCCTTCATTTTGATGGTACATGTACTAATAGTGATACCCAACCGTCACACTGGCAGTACCAGCAGCTTTACATCCAGGATAAAGCTACATGTACATTGTATTTCAAACCTTCTTCTGTCATATTCTGGTTTAGTTGTAGAAGATAATAATTACCATCCACCTTGTATTTGGGATGACATTGAAGAACTTTAATTATGAATCTTTGTCAGTAATGTCATAATCTTTTCACACGTATGACTTGTTTGATTTCTTTTCCTTAATGGGGAAATAAATTGAAAGGCAATTTTGACTGTTTTTGATGGTTAAAACAAAAGGAGGGTTTATTTCTGTGCCTGTCATTCATATAAATCAAGAGACAAAAAAGAATTCTCAGATGGTATTGTCAGAAACATTCAAGCAATGACCACAGCATCTGAAACAAATGGGCCAATGATCCGAGAACATTAATTGACATAAACATTAATGAGAAACCACAGTTCTCTAATTAATTAATAACTAGTACAAGCCCAAAGTAGTACAGTTTAAATTTGGAATTTCTGTTCTAAATATCTGCTTCAGTGAAATGAACAGGACAGGCCTGCATGTACATGTATGTCATTGAATCCTTGGAGGTCACGGCACTTATATGGTTGAGATTGAATGTACATGTAACTAATCATTGGAGGATTTCATATGTTTAGTGATAACCTGGTGTGAACTTAGGTTGTTGAACCTTCCATCCCATTGAATGCACATTCTCAAAGCAAGTTGGTGTGAATGTGCCCTGGGCATTTGTCTGAATAGTGTACATGCTTCAGTGTAGTTTGTGGATGATGAAATATCACGCAGCCTTGCATGCGCAGTGTGCATGATTGGTGCCCCTCTGACTGGCTCTCAGACAAAATTGGCATGTCTGTGTTTTCTTTTGCAAGGGAGTGAAGTTTGTTTTTTTTGGGGGGGGGAATGTAAACTGTTGTTCGTATACTAAAAAAAATGAACTCTTGTATTTTTTCTGGAAGAAAGTGTTTGCAATGTTTTCCACATTTATTTTGATACGTTGTTTTGAATCTTGTGGGTTTTATGACTTATTAATCATTGAGCTAAGACTGTTTTTATCTGTTGGGCTGAAATTTTTGTCACTGATGAATCCATATGGATTTCCTTGTTCTTGATGAAGGGACAGAACTTCAGAATGAAGTTGGTCTAATGTTGTTTATCTTTATCTTTCCTACATAGTCCCTCTTAGAAATCTTCCCACCTGCTTGTCAATTCTTTGCCAATGAGAGCCGCTTTTGGCAGATGCAGGTCTCCTAAGCTTTCTTATCAGAACCTGTATCTTGTTTCCAGAATCAGACTAATTCAAATTTTCTGTTGCATTTTACAA